ATTTCTCATCCAAATCACAGGGGGCTAACCCCCCCCTTCGCACATTACTGGAAACCATGTATGTTATCTTCGTCGACATTCTTCTTTATTTAATTCGACCCCTTTTCACCCGCATTGAGAAGTTGCGAGCGGAAAGGTGTTTAATTTATTCACCACCCTTTCTATGCGGAATAGAAAGAAGCCGTTTGTGCACTCTTCATTTCACCTGAATATAATTCATTTTTCTGTGTCATTCCCTCTAGAGGATTGTTACAGCATCAACGTTTTTAAGTGATTAATATATATGAGATTATTAGGGTGTCTTTACAGACACACAATTACAGAAAATCTTTTTGAACAAACAATAAATGAAACATGATTCATTTACTTAGCGGCAATTGTTTTAAGTACAAAGCGATGACCAATATTTACTTATTACCATGTGTGAAACAACAATGTTGATCAAACACATTTGAAAATTTTGTCAACACAGTTGTTCATGGATCAACTTTAAAACAAAATTTAAAAAAAGATGTTTCATTTTGTGTTGCTATATATTTTTAAACGCATCAAACAGGCAATAATTCAAATAAATAAAATAAATGAAATAAATAAATGAAGGAGGATAGTCAACTTCGAATCGTGCGAGCAACAATTAATTGTTGCGATTGACATAAATTGCGATCACCATCAGCACCCAATGCAAGGCTTCCTTAGAGGTCGTCCCTTTCCAAGTCCATGGATGATCATCAACGAACCAGCAGGATCGGGTGGTGGATTCGTTTTACCGTCGGAAATAACATTGCCATTTGTAACATCAACTTCCAATTGGGAAGTCAGCACGTATAATTTATCATAATTGCAACCGCCAAAAGTACTCGCGCCCATTAATCTGGTTGGCATCGTGCTATTTTGTTGTGATTTAATATATGTGATAGTAAATATCAAAATTCTTCTACTTTAAAATATTTTATGCAAAGAAAACTTACTATGTATTTATAATTTTTCCCTTGCTAAAATAATAAAGAAAATATCAAACTTGTTATCATTTGAAGAAAGAACATTTTAAGAAGAACTTACTCTGGATCGATATTGAACAAAGTGCCGTTCAGATATGAACCAACCCATAATGATCCGTCCTGAAAACATGAACCGAAAATAAGTTTAAATGCTGCCACTTTTGGTATTTTTTGTTTTTTTTTTTTCACTCACACTTCCAACTGAAATCCCAACGGGTGCAGCATATTGGGGCAGACAGAATTGATTGAAAACCATTCGGAAAGGCGCTAAGAAAGAAAAAATAAATCCATTTAATATATTTTCAGTTTGAAAAATGTCTTCTGATCAATATCTCTTACAATATTTTCCAGTTCTTCGGCAGATATCAGTGGCAGTAATCTCTTGGGTACACCCATCCATGTGATAGAAAATGCCCCTCTTGTAATCGTAGGTCAATGAATTTGACGTTTTGTGCATACCAGGCATTTGTTCTTTTCCACCTTTTCTTGACCAACGGAAGCTTCCTTTATTCTGATCTTCACCTGGAGTTTTTTTTTAAATTTCAAAACGCATAGTATTTCAATCGAAGTACGAATATATATAATAAGCTTATAGTAAAATTCTGAGTAATTACCACAAAGTTTAGGTCCAAAATTTCCCCAATATATTGCTCCTTTGGGTCCAGCCACAGCCGCGTTCGTATGATGATTGGTACCGTCTTCAGCTGATGTAATTTTTCCTATAACAGAAGCTGTTGTATTCATGCCATCCCACATTATTTTATAAAGTGCGTTTTCTACGCCTATGACAAATGTATTGGGTTCATTTCTTGCAGGTAGAATGAATGATATGCCAGGATATCCGGGAATTTGAGCGTAAAAGATTTGATTTATTTCTTCAGAATATCGAAAAATACTTCCACCAAATAAATCGACCCAATATAAACTTTGAGCTGTACAATCATAATACGGAGAATCCACTGAAAAGAAACATTTGCACATTTATAATAATAAAAATTATAAGGTCAATGATAGATAGCTAGACATACTGATTCCTATAGGTAGGGACGCGCTTGGTAATGGTACAGTGTCATAATCAACATCCACGTGTCCACCAGCACCACTGTAAGATACACTACACATGGTGTTTGTAGGAGCACAACTGCAGCCGCTACTCGAACTTCCGCAACTTCCCGAACTACAGCCGCTGCTTGAACTACCGCTGTCCGAACTTCCGCAACTTCCTGAACTACAGTCGCTGCCAGAACTGCCGCTGCTCGAACTTCCGCAACTTCCTGAACTACAGCCGCTGCCAGAACTGCCGCTGCCCAAACTTCCGCAACTTCCTGAACTACAGCCGCTGCCAGAACTGCCGCTGCTCGAACTTCCGCAACTTCCTGAACTACAGCCGCTGCCAGAACTGCCGCTG